TGAAGCAGCCACTTAAAGAACTGAGCTAAGGGGCAGGCCCCCAAAATGGCAGAAGGATTTTTTTTTAATTTTTTTTTTATTTTTTTGTTTGGCTGGCTCAGAATGCCTTCAGGGCATGTTTGGCTGGCTGGAGTTGTGGGAATCAACCACAGCAACGTGAAGCTGACTGCTTTTTGAAGCAGCCACTTAAACAACTGAGCTGAGGGGCAGGCCCCTATACTGATAATGGTAAAGATAATCTTATTAATTTCATTTGATTGAATCTATTCCTCAGGATCTTTTTGATTTGTCTTAATCAAGAGTAGTTGCTGTCTTATTTCTGCTAGAAAGATGTCTTGAGAGTTCAGTTTGCCCTCATTGTTTTGAGAAAAATTTCCTTTCTTTTTCACTTTAGTTGAATATCTTATTTCTTACTTCCTAATCCTTCCTTCCTTCCTTCCTTCCTTCCTTCCTTCCTTCCTTCCTTCTTTCCTTCTTTCATTCTTTTTTTGATTTGATACAGGGTCTCACTAAACAGTTGAGACTCATAGTGATCCTACTGTCTCAGTCTTCCCAGTGCTATGATTATAGGCGTGTGTTCCCGTGCCTGGTTTTGGTGGCGTGGGTTCTGGCCACAGCATGTGGGAGATCGAACTTAGGTCCTTGTGCTTGCCAGGCCAGTGCTTAGACCACCAAGCTATCTCCGTAGCCCCTTATTTTTTCAATATTTTACTGTCATTTTTAAATTTTTCTTTTAAACGTTTCTTTTTAAGGGAATTTTCATTAACTTTGATTTCCACTTCGCATTGTTTCATTTTTTTCAGTTATTATTTTTATTTCTAAGACTTTATTGTTTTCTCCATCTTGCCTCTCATGTTCCCTTCAAATTTTCATACATTTATCCTTACTTCATTGATGTACTTCCTTCTCTTCACTCACTAAAGAGATTATTACAGTTTTGGGGGGTGGATTTTTATTCTTAATTGGTTTCTGTTACATATCTTATTTCTTTATGTTTATTTAGTGTCTGTTTTCAAAAATTTTCTTTGTAATTTTGGTTGTCCTTGGTAGCCTATTCTTCTGTTAAGAGTTTGACACTAATAATAAAAGTAGCAAACATCTATAGAGGGCTAAGAACTCATTAGATACTGCTGCAAGTATTTCATCAATTTTATTTACTCTTCATAATGATTTTAGGAGAAAGTTATCTTCACCCCTGTTTTATGTATGAGGAAACCAAATCAAACTGTTTTCAGTGCTCAGTGTAATGCAGTAAGAGATCTAGAATTGAGTTTAGGCAGCCTGTCCTCATAGTCCATTCTGTTGGATTTTTTTTTTTTTTTTTTTTTTTTTTTGTGGGAACTCTGCTGAAGTCCTTCATTTATTGAATGGATTCATCAGAGAAGTACAATATTGCCATCTTTCTTCTCAGAGACTTAAACCTAGTTGCTGATGTATTGGTGGCTGAGTGGAGAAAGAAGACTGGGAGTACTGGTCTCACCATTTCAAAGAACTTTGACTTAGTAGATCTGTGAACATTGGTATTTTCCCAGGCATAACCTTGCTGTGCTTGGGTGAGGAGCTGCCAGTTGTCCAGTTATACAGATTGTGGAGGAGTACAGGAATAGACCTGTGACTCATATTCTGTCTCATTTATCCTTGCTTACTTGGGAGCTGCCCACTGTTGAGTCTTTTGTGGATTCTGTGCTATAAAGTGAAGGAGCTTCCTTTTTTCCGCTGGTAGTTTGTCATCTTCTTTTATTTACTTTCACATTTGTTGCAGTTTTCTCATTTCATATGCTGTTTAACCTTGTTTTATGCAGAAGGAAACAAGACTTACAGAAAGACTCTTCGGTGAAGCCTCCATGAAGTACACTTTCTTAATTCACTCAACGTATTCTGTCAGGCCCATTGTAATCTGAGATCTTTCTTTCTTTGTTTCTTTCTTTCTTTTTTTTTTTTTTTTTTTTTTTTTTCTTTTTTGGCCGAACCGGGGATTGAACTCAGGCCCTTGCGCTTGCCAGGGAAGCACTTATTCCACTGAGCCATCTTCCCGCCCCCAGATGTTTCTTATCTGAAGTGTTTCATAAAGCTTCCTCTGGATTTTTCTCCTATGACATTGAAAAAATGTCTGTTAAGGCTTTTTGTGTCTCATGGTATTTGAATTTGCGTGCTCTTCTTACCCTTCATACTCTCCATATTAGATTCTTAATGTTTTGAAAACTTTGCATGATGTTTTATGTAGAGTTTTTCAATTAGAATTTGATCGTTCTTGTGTATGTTTTGCTTTCTGGTATTTTTCTTTTTGTCAGATATTTTTAGAATTTTAGGAATACATTAAATACTGAAAATAGCAAAATTGAGAATTAAGCAACAAATGAAATTAAATCTGAGAGTTGTTAAATCTAGATATGAAAATTTTCAATGTAATTCTCTAATCATAACAGAGCATATGTCTCTAGTGACATGATATCAAATAATACATTACAAGTTTATAAGGATGCATTGTATAATCTGTCAGTTGTATGGTCAGGCTCACGGTTCTACCAGGTATACTTGGTTTTGGTATGTTATTATGGTATTTGTAGTTCAGTTGGTAATAATGTTAAGTTCCACAGTATTATAAAACGTTTTAAAGGCTTGTACTTTAGATAACGTTTAATATATAGTTTAGTAGCTAAAGTCATAAAGAAGTCCATATGTATCCTTAAAATCCCATTTTTTTGAAACCATATTATTTGGCTATGGCATTTGTAGATGCCAATATTTCCTTTTAAGAACTATTTTGTTTTCATATCCTAACAAAAGAATTTTTAAAAGCAATGATGTTGATTTTTTTACTTTTTAAAGGACACAAAATCAATTGAAGGATTTGAAATTAATTGGAGAAAGATTATTGCTCTAAAATATTTATTTCTGTAATACTAAAACTCAAGACATATATTTGTTTTCTATGAGTTATATTAATGTTTCTTTGAAAATAAGAATAAATCTGTCATCTGAATTTTAGTATGTACTACTTTCTGGGATATAGAAAACATCAGTGGCCACTAATACATTCTTTCAGAGAGCTCAGTCAGTGCTTAGGAAATTGATGATGCTGGATTCCTTACCACAGGCAGACAAGCTGAACTGATTGTTAAACATGGCATTTGTTTTTGTTTTCAGATTTTCTGGCACCTTATGGCTAACCTATTGGTTTGTAACTTACGAAATTTTAAGGCATTATCCTAAAAGTCCCATTCTTTTGAAATCATATTATTTGACTATGGCATTTGTAGATGCTAAAAATACTTTTTTAATTGACTCTTGAGATTTGTGGGTTACATGGCGAAAAGAGTAACTTGGTGTTTATAGTTTAACTTGGTTAATTCTTGGTATCCATATCATTCTTCTTTCATAATTTCTTCATGAAAATGTAATCATACACAGATTCTGCTCACTTGCAATACAAACTTAATGTGAAATCCATTTCAAATCAGCCAACATCAAAAGTTTTTGAAAGTCTGGTTTATATTTTGTAAGTACTGTATGTATGTGGATGATTTATTTATGTTTAATGTTTGGAGAAATACATTTAAATTTATTTTTTCTTCAAACTGTTAAGTTACAGGGAATGGAAATAATACAGTTATCTTATTCTGGTTAATTTAATGTCCTTTTTATACTTTATTCTGTTTTCATATATTTCCTTTAGTGTCATTTTCTACTGAGTTTCTATGGAAATAAATTTGCTTGGCCTGTTAAAAAACTCCCTGGGAGTAGTGTTTTTTTTGTTTTTTTTTTACTGTTAACTCTTAAACTTTTTTTTTCTTTTTTGTGTTCCTTTCGGAGGCATTGGTATTATTTTCAGTGAGAAGGAAAGCACAGATACAGATGGCAACTTAAAACAAATGATCTTAGAAAATTTCTTTAGGGTTAGTACTTGACGAAAGGTTTAATTTCTGAAGCTGGTTTTTGGAGAAGTGGAGTCATATTGTTTTTCTGTAAAAATCAACTTCATCTTCTATTACTGAGCAAAAGAAACTGTAATTTTTTCTGGATATGTTCATTTTGAAAGAGAAAAGAAAACTGGTTATTATTGACCAGAATATCACTTGTAGCTACTGATTCACAATTATAGATTCTACGTCCTAGGTTGAGAAACTATTTAAGAATTTATTTTTTATTTTAATATGTACCACTTAATACATATTTTACCTTTTAGGTGTTTCAGTTCCTTTGTGGTGTTAGATAAAGCTGCTGCTTTATTTCTGGAGCCCAGATACTAATGATTCTATCTTTCTATTTTTATAACATACATTTAGGGCAACATAAAACATGTTACACTATTGCTTTTCCCTTACACACTTTAAGGGCAAAGAAGTGAGGAATTCTTTATATTAACTTGTGTTTTTCTCATCCCTAGTCTGTTCTGGATAGATGACTTGATTTATCTTGATCAGCTTGGTAACTTGCTCCACATTTTTCCAATAGTGCAAAGCACTTTCAGCTAAAAATACACATATCAAAATGCTCCAAAAGTTGTGGCCACAACTCAAAAATGCTGATCAATTTTGAAAATCTAAATCAGCCCTGGCCATGAAACTGAGGGAAGAACCTTTGTGGTAGGAGACAGATTTCCAAAAATTCACCACAGTCCTGTTCTTAGCTGGAGTTTGTGCTGATGTTGCCAGACAACTGAGGAGTAGATGCAAAAAGCAGGAAGCATTATTGAATTGAGTCCTAGCTACAATTTGGGAAAAGCAAATTAAAATGTAAAAGAATATTTTTCCACTCCTGGCATCTCAATACAAAATGGCAAAAAACATGGTTACTAAAAAGTTACAAAAATCACTAATTTTGCCAGCAAATAAAAGTCAGTTAGGTCTTTCTTGTGTTAAAAGTGCATAGATCAAGCTTTTGCATCGAATAAAATAGATTTTATTTGCAAATCAAAATGTGTATACATTTGAGTTGGAAAAATATTTTGACATGCATGACTGTGTGTGGGCTTGTTTCAATGTCTTGATATTTTTCAGGTGCCACTTGAAGAATGGACGATGATGATTTTGGTGGTTTTGAGGTATGCATTATTATTTATATGAGTTTATTTTAACTTTGTGGAGCTATAATGAACTCAACTGTTTTAAAAAATACGTTATCTTGTACTGACATTCATAATCTTGATCACATTGTAACTGGAATAAAAAACATCAGATCAAAGAAAATTAGAAGTATCCTCCTTCTGAAAGTTAGAACTGATTTATTATTGAAGATTTGGTCTTGCCCACAGGGATGGTTTAAATATATATAATTAAATGCTATGTTTGGAGGCACTAAAGAAGAGAATTAAATATTGTCAGCATGCCATTTTGCTATAAAATGTCTGTTAGGAAATGCTTCTGAAATGAGGGATGATTGTTAGAGACCCTGCCTGTCACATGTTTACATGTGGACACCTGTTGAGAGTTGGCTTAGTATAGGAAGTACAAAACCTCTGGAGACCGATAACATTGATTTGTATGTTTCTGTGCTGTGAGACTGTCCTCTCAGGTTTAAGTAGGATATTTTGTAAGTGGAAATTGTTAACTCAAGAAGCAGTGTCTTTACCTTAATCCTTTTCAGTGTGTATTTATTTTACTGGACTATTTTATATCCCACTTTTTTATGGAGCCATTGTAGCCCTGCTGGAAAAATCTCTTGAAGAGTCAGGATGCCTGACCTCAAGGCCTAGGATGACAGTCAAGTGAGCTGTGTGATTTATTTTTCTTTTCTTTTATAACTAAGACCTTTATTTGCATTGTATTACAGTTGTAAAAATTAGGATGTCTACTTGATAACATTAATAGAAAAAATAAGATATATTTTATTATATGCAGTGCTCTGAGTTTTATGAATGAATGGTGTGAGCTTTTTTAAGGCTAGGATCATTTAATAGCAGATATAAAACATTTACATCTGATAAAATGGATATCTTTAGAATATAGATGCACCCTTTTTTGGGTTTCACCTAAAACTTTTTTCTTTGGTATGTTGGAATGTTTTTTATCATTTTGTTTAATATTTATGAGAAAGCTGAATTTTACTTACATCATTGTATGTAACATTTAAAATTTAAATAAAATTCTTTCATTTTTGATGATGTTGGAGATTGTCACCTCACTTCCTTTTTTAAAAATGTATTTAGTATGGGGTCTACATGTTCTAACTATGCAGATCGGACTCATAGTGATCCTCCTGTTTTCAGCTTGCCAAGCACTGGGATTACATGTGTGGGCCACCATGCCCAGTCTCATTCGCCATCTCAGCGCACCCCAGCGATAGGGCCAGCAGGGCACGCTGGGGATTGAACCCTGATCCGTGCATCTGCATAAGCAGATGCTATTTTTTTCCTTTTTTAAAGCAGGCGGTTTAATCCACTGGCTATCTGAGCTATCTGGCTGGCCCCACTTCAATGTTTAGAAACTATTCATTATTTATAGTTTAGAATCTAGAATAACTTTCTTTATTTAAACCATGTTTGATGTTTTATATATCTGTAAGAAAAACAGAACAAATGGTGCTCCTTAAAAGTCTGCTTGATACTATGTTCAGGGCACCTGTTCCACTTGGTGTTAACAGAGGTGATGCAGTTTAATTGTGGTTTGTTGTTTCTCTCTTTTCATATCCTTCCTTAAAGATGAAGAAGCTTCCTATAGTTAGCTATATAAAATAGGGACATTTTTCAGAATATAGCGTGTAGCTAATGTCTTGTGTTGCAGAGTAGCTGATTGCCCCATTTTACTTTTGGTTGTCAAATTAATACAGAACCCAAACGGGCATTATAGCTGTAATTTTCAGTGATCATTTTTCTGTCACCTAGTCATCTTCAAGACAGAAAATTCTATAATGTTACCCACAAATTCAGCACTTAGTAATTGCCTTAAAACAGGAGACCTTGTTTCTTGAATGTGTCAGCTTCAGGAATTCTTTTAAGTATTTAATACTAGTTAGTCCAGCTAGCATATTATTTAAGAATATAGATGAATCCTGTTTTTCAGATTAATCTCTAAGCATTATGATAGCAGATTTAGTCTGTATTTTAGAAAAAAAAATTATATAGATACTTAAAGGTGAGTTACATTAGGGTGGTTAAACATAAAGTTCCCAAATGAAAAATTATTAAAACATATGAAACAAAAATTTCTTTGACAGAAATGCTTCATTTGAATAAGGAAGACAACTTACCTGGAGATCACAAGGTGAAGGCACTGAGAGCTAGGTAGTGGCAGGCAGTGTTTGTGAACGCTGAAAGGCAGTGGATTCTGCAGGGAGACGTTGACCAGATGTAGTATACTCCAGCAGATGCTGGAGAATTTCAGTGCTCAAGTACTTAAGTAGAATTTTTAGCTTTTAGTCCTTTTAAAATAATCTTGCCTTTGCTTCTAGGCTGCAGAGACTTTTGATGGTGGAAATGGTGAGACCCAAACATCTCCTGCTATTCCTTGGGCTGCCTTTCCTACAGGTACTGGTATGTGACAAATACCATTTTTTAAAAACCATTTACCATTTTTTCCTTTTATTAAAGTCTTCTTTACACTTTTTTAATTTCATTTTCTCGGATCTGTAAAATGGAATGATCCAGATGGACTCTTCTGCCTAGTTTTAAATAACAAATTACATAATAAATTCTGTGATGGCAGCCTGAGGCCTGATTATAATAATGATAATAGGAACATTATATAAACTTACATTACACTTTTTCTAATTTATATGAATTTTAGATAGATAAGCTGCTATATAATATTTTTAGATTGTATTGTTCATTAGTTAAATACCGTTTTACATTCTAAAAGTAATTTATTCTCTGCACTAGTATTTCAGTTCAGAATTTTATCATAGTATAATCATCTGGAAGTGCTGAAAATTAACGTCATTAGGAGCTAACAGTATAGCTCAGTGTTGGAACTTATGCTTAAAATATACAAGATGCACAGAAATAACATCACTAAGGAAATTGAATACAAAAACAAAATATCACATAGAGAGATAATTCTTAGAAGACATTATGTTCAATAGTAATATAATTGACATCTAAAGACCTGTGGATTTTGTACAATACTTCTGTGAAATGCTTGTATTGTCAGCAGTAGAAGATAAAAATATCTTTCTTCAGTAGCTATACTTGGTCCTACATTGTTAGTTATTGTTCTACAAATATTTATCATTGCTTATTCTGCATTAGGGACTGTGGAGAGAAAGATACACCATATATAGTCTAATCCTGACGTCAGGGGCAATGTTAGGTATATGCATGTTTGCAATATTGCAATGGTTTCTATGCAGATGTTTCCCAAAGCTACATGTGCTTATAGGTGGGGTTTCTGAGAGATGACTGGATCGTAGCTATGTGCTGCTGGATTAGTCCACTGATGCGGTTATAGCTGGGTGTGATGTTGGGAGGTGAAGCCTCTAGGAAGAGGTGAGTCACTGGGGAGCATGACCTGAAAGAGTATACATTTTCCTTCCTCATTTCCTCATTACTTCCCGCCTGCTATGCCTTGAGCTCTTACCCTCGTGATGCCCCTCAGCTGCACCACCATGCCTCCGAGCCAGCTGAGTGTGGACAGAAACTTCTACTAACTGTGAACTGAGTATTGTGTGTTAGCAATGAGGAAGAAACTAGGACAAAAGTGAAGCCCATGTGTCATTTTGGAAGAATGATTTTTATCTTCCATTGATTAATAAATGCTAATTTCATGCCTGGTATGAATGAATAAGTACTGTCTTTGATACTGGGTATACATATTGTTAAAAGGTGTATATTATTTCAACAGGTAGATCTGTGACATCAGGAAAAGACTTTGAAAGATAAAAACATAACAAAAGTTTAATAGGGAAGAAAGGGATGATATAGTTAGGAAGCTTCTTTGTTTTAAGGGCCTTTGTTTTGTTTGTCTGGCCTAGGGCTGTCTCTTGATTGTCTCTGCTGCTTTCTCCTATTCTTTTGCCAAACTATCTTCTGTTTTATTGATTTCTTGCTTTAGTATTTCTTTTTCTGAGAAGCTTTCCAAGAAACATTCCACCTCCTCCATCATATCTATGTGCACCTGTTATCTGATTGGCATGTTCAATATTTAAGTTTTGTGGAGATAGCCATTATGTTTCTCTCTACTGTTTTTATAATCCTAAATGTCAAGAATAGTATCTACCTTATATTGGCCTTAATAAGTATTTGTAGAATTAATAATTAAGGGAAAAACCAAATGAGTGCTTTAGTAACTGAATCAATCAGAGTGTCAGAGTTCCTGGACAGGACTGTGGATTTTAACAATTAGTGAGAGATTAATTGAAACATCAGGGAACACAAAATATGGATCCAGCAACTCCTAGATGACTCCAAGAGGACTAATCCACTAGTAACTGGATTTAGTGAAAAGTCAGAGAAGTTGAAAAAAACCCCATTTACTCATTACTTTTGAGATGTGGACAAAGAATTTAACGTACAGATAGGTAAAGCATATAGAACCCTGAATAGTCATAATTAGGATAAAAATGTTTTTAAGTACACTATGTTTAAGGGGTGATTATAGTAAAGGGGCTAATCAGTCCTTTTTTCAGATATCTGTTCATCGCCTGTAATTCTGTTAGTGGGGGGGAGGTCGCCTAAACCATGCATCTTACCGTGGGTGTGTACAAGCATCAAAAAAGTGTGGTACTCATGATGAGATTAGTGAATTGGCAGTCAGAATCAGTGAAATTGGTGGGTTCGGTACAAGCTATTCTCTGTAGGCTTTTACTTCAAGGCTTGGCATCTAACCCATGATATGTGCTGTTACACTTTGATTATTATAAGAATTAGAGAATGGCAATATGGAGATGAATGAATATGAATTCATCAGTCTCTTCCTGGTGCCTTTACTTTCTGTAAACATGTGGAGATTATATCTTTATCTCAGTGAAATCTATCAGGGAGAATTACCTGCATTCAAGCACTTTCTCTCTGTTTTATAGTCTTATTCTCCAGATTGGCTGTGCTGGGAACTGTGAGCTAAACTGATCTGCATAGTGTTCCTCAACAGTGTCTGTTTTTATCTATCATATTACTTTTATTTTTATTTTATTTTATTTTTTGGCGGAACCGGGGATTGAACTCAGATCCTTGGATTAGCCAGTCAAGCACTTATCCTACTGAGCCATCTCCCCGGCCCTGTCATATTATTTCTAATTGTAATACCTTCTTTGCCCTCCTGTCTGCTTAGCAGTCTTACTTGTCTTTCAAGAAAAGATGTAGAACTTTCTGAATTACCTTTTCATTAACTGCTTCCTCTAGGTAGTGTTATTTTATTTCTGCACCACAGATGAGGTGCTTAATTTTGCCTTTTTAAAAATTTTTTTTGAGGTAGGGTCTCACTGTGTAGTTTAAAGTGGCCATGATCTCACTGTGTAGCCCAGGATAACCTCATACTCACAGCAGACCTCCTGCTTCAGCCTCCTGAGTGATGGCGATACAGGCATAAGCCACCCTGCACTGCTAACTTTGCTAAATTGTATTTTTTCAAATTGTGGTAAGAGACATGTAACAAAATTTCACAACTATTTTTGAGGATCATTTAGTGTTGTATTTTGTAAAACCAAAACTTTATACTAGTTGTGGTGCACCTGTAGCACACGTGCCATAGCCAGCTATTTCTTATCATTGAAAGCTCTAAAACATTTGTCATCATTGCTGTATATCCAGTTAACAACAATTCAGATGGTGCATTGGCAAACCTGTAATCCTAGCACTGTACGAGGCAGGAAGATTGCAAGTTTGGACCCAGACCAATTAACTCAGCTTCTTAGGAAGAATGAACAAAACGGTTTGAGGCTTAACTGCATGTGAGTACCCTGAGTTGAGTCTCTAGTACTGCACAAACAAAATAAAGAAGACAATCTACACACATACAGAAAATAATTCACCTAACCCCTGTTCCTGGCAGCGGTCATCCTACTTTCTACTACTTTCTATAATGTGAACATCATAAATATTTCAATTAAGTAGACTCATACTGTATTTGTTTTATTGCCATTGCCTTGTTTTATAGAATAATATACTTGAGGTTCATTAATGCTGTAACATGTGTCAGAATTTCCTTTTTTCTTATATCTGAAGTAATATTCCATTGTATAGATCTGTTTGTTTTCTGTTTATTCATGGACATTTGGATTGCTTTCATCTTTGGCTATTTTAATAATGTTGCTATGAACATGGTTGTTTCTTTGGTATTTTTAATATCATTTATCAGCATGGCTCATCTACTTCTCTTCAGTGTCTATATTAGTTTGAACTTCGGAAGGTGAAAACTGACTTTTAAACATTTTGAATCCTAAGTGCCTAATGTTGCCCTAGGCCCTGATTAAAATCAGTACTCTTGGTGATTAGTAGATTTCAGTTACTCTTCTTGATTACTTTCAGTTCTGTAGGTGTAGTCTGTCAGCAATGATAAAGGCAAATTTAAACTTTCTTTAAAAATATATTAATGTTAGAAATTTTAGATAATTACTCAAAGATGGCTAAGAAGCTATTTCCTCTGGGGCTTGTCATCCTAGGCAGGCTTATTTCCTGGTCATCCTCAATTTAGTCATGGGTGCTAGAGATTCTTTAAGGGAAAGGACAGTTAGTCAGTCATCTTTCTCATATCTTCCTTGGATTACAGTAGAAGCTAGAATGAATTTACAGATCTAGTAGCAATCGTATTACTATCTAATTCTCTCACCTCCATTTTTTTTCCTAAAGTGAAATCATTTAATATTTTGTGTGGTATGAATTGTAAGAAAATTTTTGAGTTTGTTATTCATACTACTACCACACTTAGAAAATATATTTTAATTTTCAACTGAGAAATCTCTTGCATTTTGAAATTGTTCTCAAACAGTTACCTTTCATAGGTATATATGAGACTAATAATGTGCTACTCTTCAGGAAACTTGGGAACAGACTTCAAAGCTAGTAGCTATCTTCTAGTATGCATATACGCATAGACACACACAGACACACAGACACAGACACACACACACACACACACACACACACACACGATACCTGTAACTATACACTGCTCTGATTTCTTGCTTTGCCATCTTTTACTTTCCAGTGCAGATTCTCTGCCTCCATTCTTGTGGAAGAATTGTATGCACCTGATCTCACAAGTTCTGGTAAATGTTAGTCTTAGTCTGGCATGTGTTTTTAATTATGCTTTCTAATTGCAACATAGCCAGAGTTTACAATTTTTTGGTTTATTTGTTCTTTCATTGTCTGTTTATTCACTTAGCATATATTTACAAGTGTACTGTGTATCTGACAACTGCCTTTGCTGTAGACATTATTCCACTTCTCGTGACATTGTATGAAAGGTGTCAGTGTTGTCATTTTGTACAGTGTGGGTGGTGCTGTTTTAGAGGCAATGAATGTTTAGTTTTTACTTTTAACCATATAAAATAAATTATCTAGAAGGCGAGGTGGGAGGCAAAACCTTGAACACTGTCCTTCTCAATAATGTTTCTATGTTTCTTGTGGAACTGCACAGACCACATTAGAATGCATTGACCATCAAAGTGAAAACAAGTGGTCCAGATAGATACTTTAATCCAAATTAGCTCTTTCAAAACAGCTTAGAAAGAGGGCAAACTAAACTTTCTGTCACAAGCCGACCCTTTAGGAGGAATAATGGGAATTGGACCAGCAGATGTTGAACCAAATAACTTAGATGTGGTTCACTTTGCATCTGGAGATATTTGCATACAAAGCCAACAGGAAAGTTCAAACATTTTTCTGAAGACATTGGCAGAGAGAAACCTGGAAGACAGATGCCTTTTTGATTTCATGGTTCAGTTTTTCCATTCTTCATTCTCCTGGCTAGGAAAACCTAGGACAACAAACTGGTCATTTTATTAATATTCCATTACTCTCATTGCTAACTTGTTTTTCCAGTAGAACCTGTGTTACATATCCATGAGAGCCCAGAACCTGAGTCTACCAGTATGTTTATTCAGATTAATCTGTGGTTTGCACTTGATAATAATAAATTTGCTCATTGGTCTGACCTACATTTAAGGTAAAATTTGAAGGTAACACTTGTCATAATCATGTACCTATGTATAAAACTCAGTAAAGGTAGCATTGAAAATCTTTCCAGTCATTCCACATTGCATCCATATTACATGTCTTGTCAGAATATAAACTGCATTTCTATTATAGTGTAATTTCATATTCTCATTACACCAATTATTTGAATGGAAGATTGCTATATTCCTTTTGCTTCTTCCTATATTTTTTCTTATCTCCTTGATTATTAACTTGCCTTCTTTCTTCCTGGAGCCAATTACTTTTAATGAAACCTAAGATGGTAGCTTCTAAAAGCTTTGAGTTTTTAATATACATGTGAGTTATTACTATGTTACTAATATTAGTGTTTATGTGAGTTATCAGCAATTTGTTGTACTGTCTTCATTAGTGTATACAATGGGGAATATATAAACAGTATTTGTTGTATCTGGAGACTGGGTTTGTAGTGTGTTTTAAAGTGAATCATGCTAGACTGAAGTGAAAAGCTCTGGCTTTACCTTCAACTGTGTAACTTTCCTGAAATTCAATTAAAAAGCAACTACTGTGTAAATTCAGGCTAGAAGATATCTAAGTAGTTTTCCAGATTTTGAATTCTGTGTTTATTATTTTATTTTCTTGGTCACAGTTTCTGCAATATGAGTAGCTTCTACTGGGTGAATCGTGGTGCCTGGTCTTAACTGGATGGTCCAGCTGAGACATCACTGATGCAGTATATTATAGTCAGTGTAGAAATGGTGCTCTCCTCTTGTACATAGAGCAGAAATATTAATCTGAAGAAGTGTAGTACCTAAGAGAGACTTGGTACTACTAGATAATATTGTAATGTTCAGTTCCTGTCTTTACTGTTTTTTGCTTTTTGTTTATTCCATACTTTTATACACTTCAGGGTGTTGAACCCAGGACTACACATGTGCGTATGGTATTATTTTAAAGAATATTTTGGGTATATTTTAGACAGACAGTTTGGAAATGAGAGTGTTATAGAGATATTTTCCTGTTGCTAAATTGAACCCTTAGTGGTGTTTTTTTGTTTTTGTTTTTGTTTTTGTTTTTGTTTTTGTTTTTAACATAGAGACAGTATTCTGATTATTAATCAGTAAAATTCCAAATTAGTAAATAAACAGCAACAACTTCAGGCCAGATTTGACTCAGAAGCAGTTGGCATTATTGCATAGAATCTTTTAAATCTTTTTAAAATTTTGAGACAGTGTCTTTTTATATAGCATGGCTGGCTTTGAACTTATTTATAGGATGGGCTGACCTCAAACTTGAAATCATCTTGCCTCAGCCTCTCAAGTCCTAGAAATACAGGGGTACTGCAACATCCAGCTCACATTCTTATACCAACAGAGATATTTCTATTTAATATTCCTTCTGAATTAGCTTTCTTTGACTCATAAAGTACACTTTTTATTATGATGGCTTGTTTTCTGTATTTAGTGCAGGGTCTACAGGGTCTCCCTACACAGGTTGGACTCATAGTGATCCTTATGTTTTCAGCCTCCCAAGTGTTGGGATTACAGGTGGGTACCACCCCGCCCAGTCTAAATCTCTGTCTCAGCACACCCCAAGGTGGGGGTTAGCACAGGATACCGGGGATCAAACTCTGGTCCCTGTGTCTGCCTAAGCAGGTACTTTAATCTGCTGAGCTATTTGGCTAGCCCTTATGATGTCTTTTGAAAGGCAGATATATGTACACATATGTAATATAAGGGCATGAAATAAAAAATAATGGAAAAGTCATACAATGAAAATTATCTTTTTATGCTTGTTCCATTGTCACATTCTCCTGATACAACTAACGTAACAGTTCCTTTTGTAATCATTTATACATCTTCCAGGCATGTAAAAATGCATGGCAACTTGTTGTTTTTCACAAGTGACAGTGTACAGTGTGTACATGCTAATATCATTCACTTCAAAAATCACATGACACATTTTCTACAGAATTACTTTTAGATCTTACTAGTTCATTTGAGTGGTTACATCATACTCTTCTTTGTTTATATACCACTAATCATGTAAGCAATTATTTTCCTTCCAATTTATTGCCGTTATCAGGAGCCCTGTAGTGAATATTCTTTTATGTATATTCAGCATGGCTATTTTATTTAGAGTGATAACATACACTATTTTTGTATCTTAATGAGAAAATTACTTAGAATTAACAAATGTATGAATGCAGAATACAATGTTTCTAACTTTTTTTTATGTTTTTATTTTTTATATTAATTTTATTGAGAAAGAAATAGCATTGAGATAGTTTCAAAACAGGTTAGGACAGTTACAATAATTAGTACATTGCATATTGTTGTTTTTGCAGTAGTTATTCATAGTATAAGATGCAGACATGATATCTTATCTAAACACTATTAGTACAGAATTTCCACCCTGCTCTGGGGACCCCTCTAGACCTGCCCAACCGTAGGCTCTGCGAGTGTGTGAGAGAGCTTCTGCTCTCTCCTGCACCTGCTGGACCTCTCCAAACCAAGCCCAGGTCCACCTGTGAATGAGACCTTTCACTACGCTCTCCGGATACCTCCACCCCTCCAGAGCGAGCCCAAGCCCGCTTTGTGAGTGAGAACTTCCCTAGTGCTCTTGGGACAACTCTCAACCCACCCAAACCCAGCCCCAGTGAGTGTGTAGCAGAGCTTCTGTGCTCTCCTGTGCCCTCTGGGCCCCTCCAGACCCAGTCCAGGCCAGGCATAAAGGCCTGGGGTGAAACTCTGCAGCTGAAGTCCCTCCAGAGAGACTAGGGGCCAAAACCACCCAGCTAATCCAGGAGAAGAATATTTTTCCAGAGGGGCACAACAGGTTCACCTCCAAAGGCTGCAGAAGGAAGGAGCTGAGCAAGACCCAAGCTAGGTACAGCTGGATGAACTCAAAACTAGATCTGTACCCAAATTTTAGTAGGTGCTAAAGTTATAACTGCACCAAAGCTCTATACCAAAGGTCAGAGGACCGTGCGATATGAAATGACAAAGAGAAGGAGAAAAATACAATCTCGGATCATGAGACCACCCAGAACAAGTACAGAGGACGCTAGCACAGCTGAAATGTCTGAATCAAAAGCGTCTGAAATAAAGAAAACAGGTATAGAGGAACTCAGATCAGAATTAATCTCAAATAAAAAAAAGAAATCTTTGAATTAAGAGTGTCTGAATTAAAGAATCAAATGCAGAAACATATAGAGGAAATCAGATCAGAAATAATCTCGGAAGTAAAAGAATTAATAACTGCTTCTCAAGACACGGATACAAAATAGGGGAGATTAGAAAAGCGACTTATTCCTTGAATGAGCAATACAGGAAAGAAATAGATTGCATGAAGCAGAGTAAAAGAGATACAGAGGAACATAAGATTTCAATCACAAGCTTGCAAAATCATTTGAGTGAAAGTGAAGATAGAGTTTTCAGATCTTGAAGAAGCCATTGCAGCTAATGAAAAGGTAAGAAAAGATCTCTTAAAACCAACTAGGATGTGGAAAAAAATAATTCATCACCCACAAGACTATGCAAAGATGAACAATGTGAGACTAATAGGCATCAATGAGAAAGAAGGAGTCAATACAAATGATATAAAAAGAATATAGGCAGAAGTAATAGCAGAAAACTTCCCAAATATGAGGAAACAATCTGACATTCAGGTAACCGAAGCATACAGAATGCCAAATAACTTCAACCCAATTAAAAACACACCAAGACATATAATAGTCAAGATCCCAGAAATTCAGCACAGGAATAATCTACTGAAAGCCGCTAGAGAAAAGAAATAGATCACATTCAAAGGAAAACCCATCAGAATAAGGGCAGATTTATCTTCACAAACCATGAAGGCATGGAGCAGAGTACTTGAAGTCCTCAATGAAAACAAATTCCAGCTCAGACTACTATATCCTGCAAAACTCTCTTTTAAGTTTGATGGAGAAGTGAAATACTTCCATGACAAACAACAATTAAAGAATTTCATGATGACAAAGCCAACTGTACACAAAATACTAAAAGATGTTCTAGAGAGAGCCCAAAATGATCAGAACTCCACAAACAAGAACAGAAGGAAGCCACTAAATAGGAGAAACAATTAAACACAG